CCTCAATTGAGCTTGCCAAGTCTGTGTTTGTGAAAGCCTCTATTCTTAAATGATCTTAGTTTGAGAACAATATTCCTTTGCCCAAAGATAATTTGAGATACCTCAGTATATGATAGATTGCCTCTTGATGAGGAACTCGAGGACCATTCATGGATTGACTAACAACACTCACTACATATGTTATATCTGAGCGAGTATGAGAGAGGTATATGAATCTCCTAACAAGCCTCTGATATCTGCCTCTGTCAACTTGATCACCTTTATTACTTCTAAGTTTGTAATTTGCCTTAATAGGAGAGTTAGCAGGTCTATAACCTAGCATGTCAGTTTCTTTCAAGAGGTCAAGGATGTATTTCTTTTATCAGATGAAAATGCCTTTATCTGACATGACCTCTTTAATTCCCAAGAAATAATGTAACCCCCCCTCCCCCCCAAAAAAAAAAAAAATCCTTGATCTCAAATTCTTTAGCAAGGCGGACCTTTAGTTTGGACACTTCCTTCACATCATCACCCGTAAATATTATGTCATCAACATAGACTATAGGACTCGAGATCTTACTATCAAACTATGTTCTTAGAGTCTGCTCTTGTCTTAGAGAGTTCGTTAGATTACATACTTTTCGCTCGGTGGCTGACAAAGAAAAAGCTGGAGGGATATCCATGTACACTTCCTCCTCTAAGTCTCCGTGAAGGAATGCATTCTTAACGTCAAGTTGCTGTAAATTCTATCCCAGATTGGCAGCACTAGAATGGATGACACGAATGGAATTCTCTTGGTAGTTAATGTCGTATGTCAGAGTGACCCATTAGCTACCAACCTTACTTTGTATCTATCCACTATACCATCTGTATTTTGTTGGATGGTGAATACTCACCTATAGTCGACTGATTTTTTTCCAGCTAAAAGAGATAGAAGTTTCCAGGTGTCTTTCATTTTCAAGGGCTCTCATTTCTTCTACCATGACTGCTTTTTACTTGAGTTCTGCAAGTGCTTCCGGCCAACTCTGGGGAAGAGTATACAAGATAAAGACGAAGCAAAAGCACGATAGGAGGAAGACAAAGAGTTATAAGAGATAAATTTAGAAATAGGATGTTGGGTACAAGTCCAAACTTTTTTTCGAATAGCAATAGGTAAAGAGATATCATCAACAGGATTGTTACAAGGAGACTCGTTACCTGATAATGGGGAAGAGATCTCAGGGTTGAGTCTGGAGATAACAATTGACTTGGTGGTTTATGAGTGGTGATTTGCTTAGCTTGTCGTCAAGTATAGCATCACAAATCCTCCTAATCCAATCTCCCACACGTAGTTTGCTCCACCTAAATAAGTGTTTCTACTTGAGGCTCCCCCTAACCCAAGCCCTAATTAGGTGTTTCTCCCTGAGGCTCCCCCTGGGGTAAGAGCAAGAATCATCCTATCACATCTCTTCTTCTTCAATGCACTGTTCCCCAGGAGAGATGATGGAGTAGTGGAGAAATATGACTCTTGTCTCATAAAATGTGACATCCATACTAACATACACCTTTTTAGAGTAAAGATGATAACACTTACACCCTTTTTGGGTAGCAAAGTAGCTAATAAAGACACACCGTAACGCCTTTGGATCCAACTTTCCTCCGGTTGTTCGGTAATCATGCACAAAATATACACAACCAAACACGTTAGGAGGAATTGAGTAAAGAGACACTAACCTATGAAGCAACCTTATTGGAGTAGCAAAATCAAGAACCCTCGAAGGTGTGTGATTGATGAGATATGCAGCAGTGAGTACAATATCTCTCAAGAAGATGGAGGTACACCTATAGTGAACATCAAGGAGTGAGCCACTTCAAGGAGATGTTGATTCTTCCTCTTGGCTACACCATTTTGCTCAGGTGTATCGACACAACTAGATTGGTGAAGAATACCATGTTCCGCAAGGTAAGCCCCATATTCGCCCTAAAAGTACTCAGTCCCATTATTAATCCTGAGAACCTTAATCTTGGCATCAAACTAAGTATTAATCAGTTTATGAAAGTTCTTGAAACAAGAAAATACTTCATCCTTACTGTGCAACAAATAAATCCAAGTAACCTGAGTATGACATTCAATGAAAGTAACAAACTATCGATATCCAGTAAGAGAAACAACATGAGAAGATCCCAAACATCAGAATGAACAATAATAAATGAAGCAGGGCTTCAATTATTATTGATAGGATAAGAAGTTCGTATATACTTGACAAATTCACAAGTATCACTAAGAAAATAATATTTATTACACTTTCATCAAAACTGGAAAACCTTTATAATTTTTTTCTGTGATGGATGACTAAGTCTTCTATTGCATTGATATAACTGTTGGAAGGTCACAAACCTAGAAGCTCGAAGTGCTTGAGAAGGTTGATCCTCCAACAGATATAAACCACTATTAGCTCTACCATTGCCAATTGTTTTCCCTATTTTTAGTTCCTGAAATACACAATGAGAAGAGAAGAATGTTACAGAGCAATTTCGAGGCTTTGTAATGTTACTTACTAGGAGTAAGTAGAAAAATTAGAAACATGAAGGACTTAAGATAGAGACATAGACGGAGAACAATTGATGCAACCTTTCCTTGATACAGATGACAATGAGTCATCTGCTATCGTAACTTTGTCTCTATCGAATATGTGAAATAAGAGGAAAAAAACTCAAGGAACCTGTCATATGGTCAGTGGCTTTGGAATTGATGATCCAATGATTAGAAAGAACAAGTGGTTGTAAAAGCAGTGACATGTATACCTGTGTGATCAAAGTTGGAACAACAAGAGTGGAAGCAAATGCAGAGGAAGCATCAAGCCGAGCCATTAGATGCTTGAGAACTTGCATCTCATCTATAGTGAAACTCGCACTGTTAGTACTAGTAGATTAGGCTTAAGTTGTTATATAAGGGTATAACTTAAGTATTTACTAAGGATAACCCTTGCTTGAAGGCACAGTACAACTAAAAAAATTGAATATTGAATTTGAATGCGAAATAATTAAGCATTGAACTCGGATACGTATTAAATTGAAAGCCTAAACTTGCCTTATATTATTTGTCTTTGTGCACTATACATAGTTCTTAAACACGAAATAATCAAACAATGAATATAAAAATGCATTAAGCTGAAAATCGTTTGGTCATTTTTAACGTTATGACTTTAGTGAAATAAAAAGGGTTAAAATGTGGATACTCTGTAAGAAACTTTCAATTTTTCGGCATTGTAGTGAAACTCGCACTATCAGTGGAAATGATGTCCTCACTATAAATTCATCATCACATACACATTTTCAGGGGTTTTCATTCTCAAAAATTATTTAATCCAAGAAAATTTTCATAAACAACATGCTTCATTTAAATCCAACAAAGCAAAGAAAATGATCTAAGGCAAATTTATACGGGGAAGCATACCGCAACAATCACATAAAAAATTGGAAACTTAAACTGAGGGACTTGATCCATGACTACCCAAGGTCTCACTCTCGGACCATGTTAATATAAAACCCACAATCAAGTGGCAATTGATGAAGAAATCTGTCAACCATGTAAATAAGATGTTAGCTTACATCCCCATTCAAGTTATTCTATGCTAAAAAAGTGAGTAAAGAGAATGACATATTAGAATCCATTACCACCAAAAAAAAAAAAAGGTTCTTGAGAAAAAGATTCTTGGAGAACCCATTGATAGAAGTCCAGTATCTCCAACTATGTGTATAGGTAGATAATTCCAAAACAAAGTCACCAAAGGAACTAAGAATTGAAAAAGATGCCACATTCTCTCACAGTATTTGTCTAGAACTAAAGAGTAATTTCAATAAAAAAAAAAATCAAGAACCCGCATATACACAAAGAGAGACAGAGAGGGTGTGCGATAAAAAAGAGCAATTGTGGCTTAAAAATGCTGATTTCAGTACCTGTTAAAGAAGGACACAAACACAAATATTATACAAAAAAAAAAAAAAACACAGTACCTGTTGAAGAAGGACACCTTTGGTTGGGGCAGTATTTTTCACTCTCAGACCATGTTAATATATAACCCACAATCAAGTAACAATTGATGAAGAGATCTGTCAACCATGAAAATAAGCTGCTAGCTTACATCCCCATTCAAGTTATTCTATGCTAAAAAGTGAGTAAAGAGAATGACATATTGGAACCCATTACCACCAAAAAAAAAAAAAGTTCTTGAGGAAAAGATTCTTGGAGAACCCATTGATAGAAGTCCATTATCTCCAACTATGTGTATAAGCAGATAATTTCAAAACATAGTCACCAAAGGAACTAAGAATTACAAAAGATGCCACATTCTCTCACAATATTTGTCTAGAACTAAAGAGTAATTTCAATAAAAAAAAAAAATTAAGAACTCGCATGCACACAAAGAGAGACAGGGAGGGTGTGTGATGGAGGAGCAATTGTGGCTTAAAAATGCTGATTTCAGTATCTGTTGAAGAAGGACACAAACACAAATATTATACAAAAAGAAAAGCACAGTACCTGTTGAAGGACACCTTTGGTTGGGGTAGTATTTTTCTTAGGCATTTTGACGAACACTTCATGTGCAGTGTGCGTGTGTGGGTGGGTGAGCAGTGTGCTGATGTCTAGTGCGCGTGAGAGAGAGAGGAGGTGGTGATTGAGGAGAGGGAGAAACAAAAAGAGGGGCCACTGATTAAAATGGAATTGGAAGGAAAACACAGACTGAGAAAGCATTTAAGCTTTGAAAATTGAGAGATGGAACTCACCCACTCGGTGAGTTCACTCTGTCTCTCTCTCTTCAAGTTGATCAAATTGAATGAGTAGGGGCCACTGATTATGGGCACTTCGTTTCTAGAACTTCTTGCTCGCAAAACTCACGGACACACTGCTCTTGTTTCATGTGAGCTCATCTTAGAGCTTGTAGGCTGACCCAAAAATACCTTTCTTTTATGCTAGTCCGACGACATCTCCAGTGAGAGAGAGAAAGGTGGGGAGGAAAAGAAGAAAAAAAAATTAAAAGATGGGTGAAAGAGGATGGGATGGAGAGGTGAAAAAGGATAGGATGGAGAGGTCTCAAAGAGAGGGAGGGGGCTGACAACTGCGTTTGTCAGGCGCTGGGTGTATAGAGTAACGTTAAGAGGGAGGTGATGGGTATGATAAGATGGGTTTGAGGGGAAAATGTGTGTAGGATAAAAAGTCAAATGCTCTTCTGTTTTATTATATAGATATTTTAGCACACCCCTCATGTGATGGCTAGATTTTGGGTCTAAAACGTGAAAATCTTTTAATAATTAGGTGGCAGTGAGATTCGAATATAAGACCTCCTGCTCTGATACCATGTTGATAAAATTCAAATGCTCTTCTGTGTAGGATAAAATTTCAAATGCTCTTCTGTTTTATAATATAGATATTTCAACACGCCTATTATGTGATGGCTAGATTTTGGATCTAAAACGTGAAAATCTTTTAATAATTAGGTGGTGGCGAGATTCGAATATAAGACCTCTTGCTCTGATACCATGTTGAAATTAAGGTTTAGGGTTTAGAGTGAAGAACAGACAAGAGAAAAAAGAAGACAGAGAAGATTAGCAAATAGGATTAAGGAGAATGAGAGTAATTATACTTGGGATCATGTTTAGCTACGGTAACTAGGTTGTTGGGTGTTGTTAGGTATATCCCATTAAAATTCTTCCAAATGGAACTGTGGATCGTTTCAAAGCTCATTTGGTTGCCAAAGGATATACTTAAACCTATGGTGTTGACTAGACCATCTTTTTGGTTGCTAAAATCTCTTTTGTTAGAGCTTTAATTTCACTTGCGGCTAATCTTGACTGGTATTATTTTAATTGTGTCAAGAATGCTTTCCTACTTGGTGATCTAATAAAAGAGGTATACATGGAGTAACCACCTAGGTTTATTCCTCAGGAGTAGTATTAGGGCTGTATGTGCAAACTCTGGGCTGTATTTCAGAGATAATGTTAGAGTTTGGTCTTTATAGGTGCCAAACAGATGAATCGGTATTTCATTTACGAACTAGTGCTGGTAATATCTTGTTGTTTATATTGATGATATTGTGATTATGAGTGATGATTTTGTGGGTATTACAAAAGATAAATAATTTTTATAGCACTAGTTTCATACCAAAGATTTAGGTAAACTTAGATATTTTCTTGTTATCGAAGTTGCTAGATCTAAACAGAGCATTAGTCTATCCTAGAGAAAATATGAGCTTGATCTTTTGGAGAAAACATGATTTTTAGGTGGTCAACTTGTATACATCCTTGTGGATCTAAATTATAAACTCTTAGGGACTGAGGGTGAATATTTCTTTGATTCTAGATGGTCCCGCTGCCTGGCTGGAAAGTTGAATTACCTCAACATTACTCAACCAAACATCTCATATGCTATGAGTGAGGTTAGTCAGTTTGTGGAGACTCCTCGAGTACCACATTGAGATACTATCATTCCAATTATTCACTATTTCAAGCGAGCTTTTGGACTAGGATTGTTGTATCAATCGCATGGGTATTTTCAGTTGGAAGGGTTCATAGATGCAGATTCGTCAAGGGTCTTCTTCAGATAGACGATCTACTATAGAATATTGAACCCCTATGAGAGGTAATCTAGTCTCATGGAAGAATAACAAGCAGACAATGGTAGCACAATCTAGTGCGGAGGTTGAATACAGAACAATGAGTCACACATGTAGTGAGTTAACATGACTAAAATATTTTCATCGGGAAATCAGTTTTCTAGATCAAACTCCGTTTCAGTTGTTTTGTGATAATCAATTGACTGTTCATATAACTTCTAATTCTGTATTTTATGAACGAACGAAACACATTGAAGTTAATTTTTACTTTGTTCGAGAAAAGGTGTTGCGTGGAGAAATTATCACATCATTTATCAAGTCTGAGGATTAACAACTTGTTGATATGTTTACTAGGTCCTTGAGTAGTACTTGTTTGAGAGATATTTGTTTCGAGCTGGAATGGATTATATGATATTTACTCACCAGCTTGAGGGAGAATGTTAGAATATAAGAATGCCACTATTGTAATAAGTATACCCCTTAAGGGGTATATATGTCTTTTCTTTATTATATATATATATTTTTTGGTGGAGTGGAGAGAAGTGATGCATACTTTTTCAGTTTACTCTAGTTTTCATTCTCCAAATCCTAGCCTCCACCCACATTTACAGTTTTTGTGTTGTAGGGTTAAAATAGATATTGCAATGGGAGTGTAATGGACAATAATGGAATTGAATTTGATTATTAAACAGACCCAACTGACTTTATGAGAAACTACGAAAGACGGTTTTGAGAAGTGACCTGAGCTGGATTCTCTCAATGTGAATTCCAAAGATGCAATTATTGTTCTAGTAAAAAAAATGAATTCACCAAACAGTTTGTAGTTTTGGTAAATGTACTTTTTGGCCTTAAAAGACGATTTGTAGTGTGCACCAAAAGAAACCTAAGTCAAAAGTAAACACAACTTACGACATCTATGTTAATGCTCTGACCTTGACTTATTTTCTGTCATTCCCCCTTCTTGGTTTCCTTCCATGGGTTGAAAGCAAGTTGTCTTTGTGTATGTTTGCTGATGGTCTTGTTTTCAAAATTGATGAAAATCATTCACTAGACAATACAATTAAACTGAACATTGTTAAAAATATATACTCGGTACATTTGTGAGCTTTGTCATTCTTTTTTATTATTTTATTTTGTTGTTTAACTTTTCTTCTTTATCTCTCAGCTTAGGGACTGGAAAAGAGTCAGAAGAAAATAATTTGCTGCAACTATTATCAGATGCTTGCCTAGTTGTTGATGCTTTGGAGCCATCTGTGAGGGAAGATTTGGTGAAGAATTTTTGCAGTAGGGAGCTTACTTCATATCGACAGATCTTTGAAGGAGCTGGTCTGTCTGATTTGGAACTTTTTTATTGAATTTATTTTTTCAGTAGTACATATAGTCAAGGATCAAAATTTTATTTCGGTGTATTGTTTCGGTCACTTAGGAAACGAAAACGTTTTGACCCGTTTCGAAAACATAATAAAAAATTTAAAAATTATTTTTCTAAAACATTGATTTAAATATATCAAAATATCTTGAAATTCCTTGAAACATTCCAAAACAATTGTACAAATGCATTGAAATATTATAATACATCTCAAAATATTATGAAATACCTCGAAATTAGAATTTTGATTCCATCACTGATTTGTTTCAGTCTCCTTGGAAATGGAAACGTTTCAGACGTTTCGACCATTTTAAAACGATATTTTGATCCTTGCATATAGTTTACTTGATGTCCTTGATTGTGAAAGTTTTTTTACATTTGCTATTCCATTAGAACTAGCAAAGTTGGATAAAACAGAAAGGAGGTATGCTTGGATCAACCGTAGATTAAGATCAAATGAAGAAATCTGGAAAATTTTTCCTCCTTCGTGGCATGTTACTTATTTGCTCTGTATACAGTTCTGCAAGTTGACGAGGTTTGTCATCTATTCATCTTCAGATTTAGACATTCTTCTTTTCTTAACAAATATAATTATCATGGTTGAACAACCATGTGTTCAAAAAATGTTATTAGTTTTGTATGCAGTCCTACCCCATCTAGCAACCTGCATTGATAACCTTGTGGCCCCATGGCCATTGGATCGTGTTATTATTTAGTGACTAAATAACTATAATTTCCTATCAGTGTGATTTGCGATGACTGTGTCGGGAATTAATACAGTTTTACCCTCATATTGTTTATGAAGTTTTGATGCTGCAATCTTATAATAAGAACTCAAAGTGGTCTATCAACTATGCTTCCTGCTGATGCTAATGCATACCACATGGAGGATAAGACTGATCTTGTCACCATGATGTAACAAATGACGGATAAGAATTTTTATTCTTATAAATGAAATGTTGGACTTTGAAAGTTAATGTTACAAAGGGGTTCACTTGATATTCTGGGCTCACTTCTTATTCTGCTTGTGAGGATGTCAATCGTATTTCGTTAACCTGGTTGGATTAAAAGTACTATCTTACAATTGCTTTATCACTTCAAAAACTTTTGCGACTGTTTTGCCTGGTTCTTTGTTTTTTAGGTCACAACTTCTGGAGATTCTGGAAAATCTGAAAGAAAAACCAGATGTTGGAACACTGTTGCTGGTAAATGTAAATCTTAAGTTAAATGTTTTTTCTCCAATTTTTGCAGTCAAAACTATTCATGGAACCTGGTTTTCATAAATTTTAAGCATTTTATACGTTTCTTAAGATCAAATTTTACCTAGTTGTGACGGCCTAGGACTTCTTGAAACCAGAGGATGTATGGTTCAAGATTGTGGGGCCTTATTCCAATTCCCTGGGACTAGCTTCATTTATCCTTTTCTTAGTGCTGCTGGATATAAGACCATGCACTGGCGGTTCTAGGGTTGGGGCAACGGGTGCAATTGCCCCCATTAGAATCTTGAAAAAAATTGGGACATATTTAATACTTTGGATTATTATAAGTTTTTTGAACTTTCCCCATTAAGAAATTTGCAAACAATTTAAGGGTAGTTTTTTATTTTAAAAAATAAGCTAATTTTTTTGTTAATAAAAAATTAGAGTTAAACTTCTCCCATATTACACAATCTTATTAGCTTCATCCAATTTGGAATTGATTTTTTGTATGAGATTTCAAATATTTTTTTGGTGATTGATAAGTTTATTTTGATTGATTGCTTTGGAGCTCCCCCATGTCTGCTTGGAGCCCCCTCTGTATAGATGTAAATTTATTGACTTGGAAAATTTTGAGGATACAAGATTTTTGTGTTATTTTTTTGTTGTTGTCTTTTAATACATGTCTTGTGTGTACGAATTTAATACATATCTCGTGTAAAGGAATTGCATCCCACTTGGCAAATGTATAATGAAACTATAGTGATACAAAAATGCTATGAACATATATTTTTGGGAACAAATGATAGCATTATGATTTAATTTGTTGTTGAATTTTTGGTTGCATTCACTGTAGAAAAATCCTATCTGTGCCCCTGGGACCATTGTTTCTGATATCATATAGCAACGCAATCATACAGACAACATCCCTCTTATTCGTCCACTTTCTGTGCACTGAAATTTAGCTCAATCCAAAGCACTCTCTTTCATTTAACCATTGGCGATTGCTGAATATAGCCATGTCCACTGCAGGCCCATCGACTTTTGTTCTCGAATTTTCCTGTTTCTTTCTTCTCTGTGAAGGCGAAAAACATCACATCAAGAAGACTGTACAGGAACCCTCATTAGAATGATATTGATCACATTAGTGTCAACTAAACTAGCTCTTCAAATAAGTTTTCTTGCTTATTCTCTCAACAAATAGAGGAAAAGTAGGAAAAACTAGTTTATTTTTCTGGTGCTTTTCTACAATGTGTGTCGCAATTGTCATAATTTGCAACAGGCAGATTAACAGCAGAAACGCCTCCCTCAAAATTTTCAGTGGCACCATTTTCTACATACTCTTAATCATTAATCTTTGAAAACTTGAACTGGGGGGAAGAAGGGGGCACATGCCTAAAAGGTCCTAATATTAGGTTCAGCTTAAGTAATTGCTGTAAAAGCTGGTATAGTTTAAGGAAAACTTATGCTATTCAATACTGCACTGAACTTTCATACTAATCCAGATAGCATGTTTCATTTTTGATTCAGTTTTACATTTGTGATAGTCTCAAATTTTGGTAAATATGCACAGGCACTACAGAGAACTTTAGAATTCGAGGAAGAGTTAGCAGAGAAATTTGGAGGTGGCACCCGTGACAGAGAAATGGGGACTGACATCGAGGACATTGATAGAGGGGAAAATAATAGTCAAACTGTACTAGATATTCGAAAGAAATATGAGAAAAGGCTTGCTGCCCACCAAGGAAGTCGAAATGAGGTAGGTGTTACTGGTTTGTAATTTAGTTAAGCATTTCACAACATTATAGGTGATGGTATTGCTCATATTTGGTAGGCCATGGTGCCTTATGATTTTGTCTTGTTAGCAGAAAGATGGACACAAGGATTTGTCAGTGCCTGGAGCAGGGGTATGACTTTCTATGCTTTTGGTTCTTCTGAAGAATAGTATGCCTGTTGTATTTATCCCCAGACCCATTGCGTCATCATAGTTGAAGTAAATACATTTGCAGCTAGCTCAAGGGGAATAGAGAAAAAAAGTGGGGGTAGGGGTTTAAAATAGTATGCATCATCTCTCTTTATTAGTTGAATGGTAAGCTACACCCTATTCAATTACGTTTGTTAAGTTATAAATTGTAATGGTATTTGCTTACAACTTGTGCATCCATGAATTCCATATGGAGAAATATGTGAAGAGATGACTGTATTTGGCAAATCATTCAAAAGACATAAATTGTTTGTTAACATGTGCTTGTGCTGGGCCTGATCTCCGACATATTTACTGCGGTACCTATGTCGTCATTGTTATGATCTTCTTATAAGCAAACTTAATTTAGGCCATTAGCTTGGCTCTTGTTCCAAATTTTAAGACAACAAAACTAATTGCCACATATTAAATTGTATTAACTGACTTGGCAGTTCAATTTTCATGGGATTATTTCATCTTGCTTTGAACCTCACTTGACGGTATATGTAGAACTAGAAGAGAAAACTCTCATGGAGAATCTGGAGAAACTTGTTCAGGTAAATTGGGTGTACCACTCCATTTTCCATGCATGATATCATCTCTCTGTGCTTTTGTGTCACGTAATACTATGCACTTTATATATCAGGAAGAGACATGGGATATTGAGGAAGGAAGTCAAACTAATATTTTATCCAGTAGCATGCAGGTACACCACTAGATCTCATAAGTGGGAAGCTGTGCTTTTAATAAATATAAAGCAGATGATTTTAATAGCTATACCCATTGCAACATGCTTATACACATGCAGACACACTTGGTTCAAAGCATCAGTTGACATTCATATGACTCTGCTGAATCGAATTAGCATTTTCTATTCTGAGAACGATACATGTTTTGTTTAAACCATGAGTCGAGTGTCAGACTCATGGTTGACACGGAGGCATCTCGGACGACTCACCCTTAACCTCTTTGCGTTGCCGCAATATGACATCAATTTGTCGCCATTCCATTCTTCTTCTCTGTAGTATTTTGTATGTATTGTCCAATAACGTTCCACAATGGATGTGTCTTAGAGTGCCTCCTAATTCGATTGCTGATACCGCGATGGGTACTCTGTTAAAGTTTAGTGCCATATTTGATCCTCAGACTGATGTGCGCATTCTGTGTAGAATTTGAGCTCTGCTGGACATGTTGTAAGCCTATGTGTTGGGTGTTCTTTAGAACCTATTGGGTTCGACATGATCTAGGTTGGAATCAAGTGGGACCTTAAAGGTTTCAAACCAACTTTCGCCTTTCTTCTTTTTTTGTATTTTTGTTTTGTCAAAGGAAGCTAGCATACACCTTCTAAGGGTGTTTTAGGCTTATAGTAAAGAGTACCCATGTATTATCTATTGGTATTTTTCTGAAGTGAACCTGATTTAAGAGGATGAGGGGTGACTTTGTCAAACCTGGTGTTCTATGACTCCCTTTTCCAAATTCTTTGAACATTTTTGAAAAGAAGCCTACGAGATACTTTTTAGATTGCTTTAAATGCTTTAGATAAAGATTACCTGGATCGTGAGTCACTTTAGTACGTTATACGGGTTCGGGTACATGGTACGACACTTTCTGAAGTACATTGTACGATAGGGATAGACTTAACTAGTATGGTATATATAATTATAAATCTATGTACATGTAGTTAATTAATATGTATTTTATATTTGTTTTATATGTACAATTTGAGATCGTAAATTTTGGTGATCTAAATTGTGAACCCATCCCATTTGGGATCTATGTACCTAGATTGTGGGTCATCAGGGGTTTAATGAACTCTGGTAACAATATCTGTTATGTGTTTAAATATTCTAACAAATGTTATAATTGAAATTGAGGCCAATTTGAATTGATGTTAATTAATCCTTCTTACTGCTCTAAGAAGTAGTAGGTAAGTTCGCTAGGAGTCGAACCCGTGACAGTTTGTACCCAAAACAAACACGGTGTCAAGCTGCTCCACAACCCTTCAATTGGTACTAACTTTGTTAAATAAGGAATCTGAACTCGATGCCCCATTTCTAGTTTATTTTGGAAAATGATTATAGTGTCCTTTATTAAAATATTTAGGTCTAAGACATAAAATTTATAGGCTATTGAGAAATTTCAATATATGAGCTATGCATCGAGAACTTGCTATAGTATAGGAAATTTCTATCTTGTTAAATATGTAATGCTTGATATGAATATCGTTTCTTCTAGTTTTTTCACTATCTTCAATTTTTTTTGCTGTTTCATGAAGGTCTTTTTGATCATCAGGAGAAGCTTAAAGCGCTGCAGCGCTTTGACCAAGAACCAAACTTTATTTAATTTGTTCAAGGTGCAGTTCAATTTTGTATCATTCAACTGTGACTGGTTTGTCTAACGTACTTTCTTGCAGAATATTAGAAGCAAATGGGTGGATTGTTGTATAGTTAGTAACTTACAATCCCTTGCCATTAAAAAAAATTATTATCTTTTGAAGAATTCAACAGCAAATGGGAACGTTGACTCCACTTAGCCTTGAGGGCAGAAGCATGTGGCACACTGCTTTCTATGTATTATCTTTGAGTGCTCATTTGTTATGTTATGTGTTATTTTATATAAAAAAAAATTTGTTATTTTATAGACTAAATGTAGTTTGTACTTTGTGATTAAATATAAAAGTTGAGTGTAGCTGTGTAACCTAACACAGTACTCTCTTCCAATATTCTTTCTTCTTCTCTTCCCTAAACCCTAACGACCTCATAATCTAATTTGGTATCAAACTTCAAATCTATCGAAAAATCATCGAAAATTCATCGTTGCAGCAAGCAGTGACTAACGCCAATATTTTGACGTCACCACCCAGTCTTTTAGAATTTTTCGAGACCATCTGTACTGACTTGTTCTCCTGAGCATCAAGGTTATTTTTGTGAAATTTTTCGATGCCATCTGATTGACTTTGTGATTTTTTTAATGTTTTTTTTTTGGGAATTTTTGGCTTAAATTTCAGAGCAGTTTTCTTGATGCAATCTAATGCTTGGATCTTGGTTTCTCTTATTTGATAGGGTGTGATTAGGGCAGATCTTGAATGCCCATAGCCCTTTTTTGCTATTTGGATCGATTTGAGGAGTTTTTTTGACTCCTAGGTATTTTAGCCCTTTGGTTGTGGGTTTGTTCTTGTGCCTGTTTCTTGCTTTTTCTACACAGGAAGTTGTTTAGACTTCTGTTGGGTTTTGTTGATGCTACACAAAGGCTGTATGACCACTATGGGGGCTACTATTTAGGTTTTGTTGCTGCGACACAAGGGTTATACAACCACTATTGGAGTCATTTTTCAGGTTCCCTTGATTATTGAGTTGTGTTTTTGGGATTACTTGTTATCTCTTGTTGAATATACTGAGCAGGTATTCAGAAGGGAGTCTAACCTCTAGTAATTTCACTCAAGATGAGATGTAGACTCTTCGGCGTCTAATGACTCGCCTTGATGTGTCATCTGCTACATCTCCTAATTCTATCTCTTCTTCCAACTTTGGTCATACAGGTTCATTTTCTTGTATGTTTATTGCGTCATCCTCAGATAATTGGATAATAGATTCTGGAGTCATTGATCATATAATAGGTTTTTCTAGTCTTTTCTCTACATATTCTACTTGTTCTAGTAGGGATAAAGTTAAGGTGGCATTTGGATCTTTATCCTCTATTTCTGGGAAATGTTCAATTAATTGTTCTCCCTTTTTATATCTCTCCTCTGTTCTTCTTGTTCCCAATTTATTCCCTAATTAATTGTTTGTTAGTAGTATTACTCAATCCTTAAATTGTTCGGTGACTTTTTTTTTTTTACTCATTGCATCTTTTTCAAGAAATGAAACAAGAAAAAACGATTGACAGTGGTAGAGTACATAGTGTCTTTATCTTTTAGATGTTGAAGCTTCTTTGCAGTCTATCTGTCAAGTTTTTTGGGCAGTGTTCTAGAACATTTTTTTCCTAGTTTAGCAAAACAGTGCAGTAGACAATCTTTTGTTTGTGATGCTTGTGAACAAGGATTGAAATGTTGTGTCGGTTCCTCCAAAACGTTTCGGATTTTCAACACACCAAACGAAATATGGCTTGAATCCCAAAATTCTAAAGTTTCAATCGAAACATCACTATGTCCGACCGTTTCGGTCAAAACAGTACAGTTTTAACGAAACATTCGACAACACTCTAGGCCAAAGTGTTCCAAGCCCAAAAAAAAGGGAAAAAACAGAGATTACATGTACACTGGTTCAGGTCTTCCAAGTAAAAAAAAAAAGTAGACATAAGAGAGAAAGGCATACCCAAACGAAATCGAAGAGAGAGAGAGAGAGAGAGAGAAAGACACATACAGACTATACAAAAAAGTTTAAGGAGAAGAGTTCAGTAGCTTACCTCTTTGAGTCTAAATTTGAGCAAATCTAGCCCATATTCACGCAAATCTAGGGCTTAGGACCTAGATCTTCATCGCTGCAAGCTACGACCCACGAGCTACTAGGTATTTTCTTTTTCTCTGTCTCTGTCTGTGTTCGTGGGTGAGAGAGAGACACGACTGACTCTTTGAGAGTCTTTTGGTTTTTGGCTTTTGTATTTTTTTTGTTATAACTATGAAAAATTACATTTAATACTCCTCTGCATTATAACTTTTAATTTTTAAGCATACGTAAGTACCATTAATTTCATTTAATACACTTCATTATTTTTTTTTCTTTTTGTAATTATTCTTTTATGTTATTATTATTTATTAAATTGATATATTAAATAACTGCAAGTCATTTTATTAATTATACCTTATTTGTTAAATATCTAGAATTAAGCATTTATGTGTGTACAAATTGTGTATACAATGATTTTAATATTAGTGAAATAGTATTATTTATTAATTTGAAGACGCAATTTAAATTAATAGATTAGTATTATTATAATATGCTCCACAAATTAGTTTTATAATAACATGCCACACGAAGTGTTAATATTATTAATTACTAAATTAGTATTATAATAAAATAGTATTATTTTTTTAAATAATATTTTAATTTAAAAGTGTTATACATGTCATATTTAAAGTGATTTTCACCTCATTTTAATTTTTTTTTGTCCTCCAATTTAAATTTATTCTTGTATAAATGGATGTTAACTTAATAAATATGTTGAATTAATCAATTATTAAGCTTATCTTTATAAATAAATTGATTGTATTTGTGTTTTCACATATTTTCATATTTTTTCTGCGTTTTTGAAACGTTTTCGTTTTTGAGCTGACTGAAACAGTACTTTGAAACAATATTTCGATCCTTGCTTGTGAATTTTTCAAGCATAAATGTTTATCTTATCTTAATACTTACCATAGAAGCACTACACCTTTTGTCATTATTCATTCAGATGTAAGGGATTCTCGTGTTGTGTCTACTTCTAGATATCGTCGGTTTGTTATCTTTACTGATTATTATTCTCGTCTTACTTGGGTTTACCTAGTATGCTATAATGGTGCAATTTTCTCATACTTTAGATCTATTCATAAAATACTGAGTACTCAGTTTGATGTCAAAGTTAACATTCTTCGAAGTGATAATGAAATTGAGTATATTGATAGAATATTTCGTTCTTATCTCAATGAAAATGACATCCCAAGCAAAATGGTGTTGTTGAGAGAAAAAATTATCATCTTTTTGAGGTTGCTCACTCATTGATGTTTACTATGAGTGTTCCTTAATCTTTCAAGGGGGGATGTAGTTGTTACTGCTGCTTATCGTATTAATCGTCTACCCTCGAATGTCCTTTAGTCTAAGTCTCCTACCAAGTGTCTTTCTAACTCTTTTTCCATTCCTTCTATTTCTTTCCTTTATCCTAAAGTTTTTGGGTGTGTGTGTTTTGTACATGATTATAGATCCTCTAGGAAAAAACTTGATCTTAGGGCTATGTGATGTGTTTTTGTTGGTTACTCTGCCACCCAAAAAGGACATAAATATTATCATTTAGAGTCACAGAAAATGTATCTTAGCTTGGATGTTACCTTTTGTGAATTTGAGTCCTTCTCTATTACCCAGACATTTCTTTAGGGGTAAAATACTATTATAGGGAAAGAGTTGTTTTGTTAGGAGCCACTTCTTCAACTGCATGTTCAATGGAATGTAATTTAGGGGGAGCAACAACTTATAGAAAAAAAAAAGTGATGCTAGTGATCCACATGGTGTTCATCTTCATAAATATAAAATGAAGACTTATTCTCGGCATCAAAAAGTATATATTACTCGTGCTACCGCATCAGTCGGATTCCTCAACTCTAGTTCTATCTTCCACTGATTTATCAGGTAATAAACCTTTAGATGTTACTCCTATTATTGATATTCTAGTTGTTGATGACTTTGATCTTCCTATTGTAGTCAAAAAGGGTCTTAGAGCTTGTCCTCAACATTCTATCTCTAATTTTGTCTCTTATGATTCTCTGTCTCCATCCTATCGTATTTTTGTTTCCTCCTTATCTTTTATGTCCTTTCCTTAGGTTGGAATTTTCTATACCTAAAGGCACTATGCAAACATAAATGCATGAAAACTCTAAAAGTTTAAACTAAATTTACAATAAATTCCTTTAAATTAAAATTTTTCCCAATTTAATCACAACCCACAACATCCATATTCCACCAAATATAAAAATACTCAACTAATTTCACCTGACATATCCCAAAAAATTAGCAAAACATTCTACCTAGCAATCTAACCAACAAAAATGAGCAATATAGCATGGACATGGTTTTAACATAAAGGTATCTCAAATATTCAAGCTTGATTCAATCAAAGATCAAAATACATACACAATAAAACCTATTGATCACTCTGTGGCTATGTGCCTCTTATTCCAGCTTTCATATTTGACAAAAAA